TGCCTACGGTTTACCGGGCAGTTCTATTTGTGACGATATATATGATATATATATATCTGTTTGTGACGATATATATGTGTATATATATATATATAATTATTATTTTTAGTAATTTTATACTCGTTTGTTGTCCTCTTCTCCCTCTCTGGCTACAGTTTACCGGGCAGCTCTGTTTTTTCGTTGCCAATGGGAGGGCGGGGCACGGAGGGCGGAGTGCTGGAGGGGTTCCTATTGGGTCCATATGCACGTAGGCTGAAAATAAAACCCTCCGGAGTGGTGGAGGGAGTGTTGGGGGTGTTGGGGGTGCTGCAGGGGCCGGGAGTGGTGGAGGGGGCTCCTATTGGCTCCTCCTATTGGGGATGCGGAGGTGTACTGCTACCCTCCGAGCTTGCGGCCTTGCATGTATGCCTGGGTATTTCATCCATATGCAGGCATGCATATTTCATCCATATGCGTGCATGCATGCATATTTCATCCATATGCGTGCATGCATGCATATTTCATCCATCTGTGTGCCTGCGGGCATGAACTCTTCATCCATGTGCGTGCATGCATGCATATTTCATTCATATACGTGCATGCATGCATGCTTATTTAATCCATATGCGTGCATGCATGCACTGTTCATCCATGTACTGGCATGCATGCATCCACATGTCATCCATATGCGAGCATGCATGCATGCACGTTTCGTCCATATGCATGCACGTTTTGTCCATATGCGTGCATGCATGCATGCACATTTTATCCATATGCGTGCATGCATGCATGCACATTTTATCCATATGCGTGCATGCATGCATGCACATTTCGTCCATAGGTGTGCATGCATGTATGCATGTTCCGTCCATATGCATGTATGCATATGAATGAACCTTTGCATGCACGCATATGAATGAACTGGACTATAATTAGCATGCATGTTTATGAGTGAAATATTCAAATGTGCGTTAAACTGATTAATCAGCTAATCATACCGTCCGTTCCCCCCCCCTGGATAGAACGAGGCGGTCGCTAATTATAGCTATACCAAGTGGCTGCTTTCTTCCCCTGAACATAACGCCCCATCATTTTGAATGTCTACAAACCCTGTTCCCCTCCAATACATTCATGATTCCGGGGCATTGCGTTCAAGGGAACAAGGTAGGTGGAAACTATGAATGTCTAACTTATAATCACATTAGAAAAGAAAAAGACCCGACTGGTGCTACCCTGGCGGGTAGAGAGAGAGAGAGAGAGAGAGAGAGAGAGAGAGAGAGAGAGAGAGAGAGAGAGAGAGAGAGAGAGAATTCAGAGATAGTTGAGATGAACTGCTCATGCATAGCAGGCAGTCATTGATAACAGCATCCACGCAATGAGACACGCTGTAAGGTCCATTCAATAGACCGAAACACATACACAATGTGAAACACGTGATGCAAAGATATCGATAATACAGCAAATCAGGGGCCGGGGGAGGAGGGGAGTTCGCAAAGCTGTACACATTACTACACAACGAGTATTTAACTCGAGGACGGAAGAAGGGGGCGCGGCAGGGTTGTTTTTTTCAATTTTCTTTTCGGCACTTGATTTCATCTTATTGACAGCAGAATAAAGTGAGGCAGATGTGTTGGCCGAAAGTAGACACGAGTACGAGGGGGCTTTGGAGTGTATTGCAAGCCTTAGGTGGGATGGTAAAGCGAGATGCATTGGGGAAAACACGGAAAAGCATATGCGGTGCGAAAAGGCCCAAAAATAAACTTAGTACGAGGAAAAATAGTAAAATACACACTCCCTACCGGTAGTCTGTTGTTTTCTGAACCTCGAAATTGGCAAGTGACAGGATCGTTGCGAAAGCTTAGAATCATCTCCATCTCCTTTTATCCCCTTCCTAAATCGATGCGCACATCACCCTGTCCTGGGAGCGAAATCCCCCACCTGTCACAGGGGGATTTCTCGTTGACATCAATCTTAAATCTACGGACATAATAAGGGCATCACCCTGTCCTGGGAGTGAAATCCCCCACCTGTCATAGGGGGATTTCTCGTTGACTTCAACCTTAAATCTACGGACATAATAAGGGCATCACCCTGTCCTGGGAGTGAAGTCCCCCACCTGTCATAGGGGGATTTCTCGCTGACTTCAACTTTAAATCTACGGACATGCTAAGGGAGAGAGTACGAGAAGTGAAAGGATGGTGGAGAAGAGAAAAGGGAGGGAGATCATGGGAGCAGCGTATGGCATCAACGAGATGATGTTTAGTAAGCTGCCCTACGAATCTGTAGTGGACGCAATCAACTGGTTGCTGGGATGGTACGAGTTAAGAGGAAGAATGGGAGTGATGATCAAGCCTCATCAAGGTAAGAAAGAGGGTAAGAGGAAGAGGGGAAGACTCTGAGGGGAATCCGCCGCCGAAAAGAAGAAGAAGAAATAAGAAGGCTGGACGTACACGAGCTTCAAAAGGAATCAGAGTATGGTGTCGTTCGAAATTAGAAACACGTCCTTGTCAGCAGTAGGGCGCATGTTGAATCCAAGGGACGGAATCCCAAATTGAATGGGAAAATTGAGTAGTCTGCCCGAGCTTGCATTTTGTGTGTGTATGGGCCTCGCTCCACTACTCTCCACATGCATGCACAAAAGACAAAAAATATGGCTCTGTATCTTTCCATGGCTCTAGCGGAAGATTCATTCTCATTTCGCACATTTGGTGAGTAGTGGAGCGAGGCCCTATTTCAAAAGTAAGTTTTTGAATGATGTGGAAAGCAAAACGAAGTTTGCGAGGGGGATTAGATCAGTGGATGATGTTTCTGAAAGGGTTTGCGTTCCTCTGAGTACCCGGTCCAGTCCCGAACTCCTAATTTTCTTAGTATAACATATTTCCATTTGGCAGGCCGTACAGCTTAGGCCCTAGGCCCCTAGCGTAGGACTCAGGCCGCACCGAAGTCGGTAGCACGTTAGGTCCGTACAGTCCGTAGGCCTCGAAAAGTCCTAGACGGCTGTCAGTCTGTCCATCTCTCAGTTCGCAGCTCCGGCCGGAAGCCAAAATGTTCCCGTTGTCGAAGGCCGACAGCAGCCACACGCAGCAGGTCTGAACATCGCAGCTCGCAAATCGAGCTGCAATGGAGTACCAAAGTCCGGCAGCCGCCAAACGTCATCACAATCGGCATTCGTGCTTGGCGCAGAAGCGCTGTTGTGCTCTTTGCATTACAGCAGTGGATGAGAGGAGCATAGCATAGTAAGAGTGCGCGCGCGCGCGTGTGTGTGTGTGTGTGTGTGTGTGTGTGTGTGTGTGTGTGTTTCTTCATCCTCCTCTCCTAGTCCAATTCCACTTCTTCTTGAGTTGTGATGTTTGGCATTGTATGAAAGTTGAGTCTTGGATATTGAATTGAGCAGGATCATAGCGCACATTTCATTTACGTACATCATCACATTTGCACCGCATTTGGCCACGTCATCACGTTTGCGCACATCATCACATCTGTACAAATGGCATTCGCACACAACGCGACTTACACACAGGACGTTTAGACCCATCACATTTAAATACATCACATTTGTGCACATCGCATTTACACTTTTGCACAGATCGCACGCTTACGCACATCACATTTGCACACATTGCATTTACACGCACAAGATCTACACACATCACATTTGCGCACATTGGATTTTCCACACATCGCACAAATTGTGTTCACAGCTGCAGTGATTCTGAACACATCGCGTTTACATCACATTCACATCCCATTTACATCACGGCTGCATTGCATTTTCGCGACATTACCATTGCATTTTAGGTCGCATTTACATCGGATTCAGCTTACACTGCATTCACATTGCCACGTCTTCATCACATCCACATCCCTCGCATTTACAGTGCATTTACATTGCATGTGCATTATTACATTGTATTGACATTACATTTACACTGCATTTACGTTTGCATTGCATTTCCATTTGCATTGCAAGTACGTTGATCCATTGACGTGGAATTTACATGTCATTTACAGATCGAGTGCAATGCACATTTGCATGTACGTCACAGTTGCATATGGTTAGTGGAACCCTTTTTAGCAGTACTACGCCTTCTGCTCACCCCTGTTCCGTAGATTGAGACTGCTTGGGAACAACAGACTGAGTGGGGTAACCAATTGCACTTTGCAACCAACAGACTGAGTGGGCTAAACAACGCATTGTTGGCATGGGACCGCATAATAAGCAACGGATAATTGGTACTGCTTGTTGCCCACCTAAGGACGAGCGTGAACATGTCATTGGACGGCAATATCAGTGTCTTTCACCTTTCTACTTCCCACCTCCTTAGCAATCTAGTGACTCTACCTTGAGCTCCGCCGCCTTTCTCGCTGCTACTGGCTGATATCCCGAACTTGCCACTGCAGTGTGATATCCACCTATAGGTAGAGTGAAAACAATGGGGTTATCTTAAGTGAAAACAGTGGGGTCAGTTACAATCATTACATCAAGCTGGCGCCACTGGCACGTGGAGTTAAGTGAAAACAGTGGGGTTATTTTGAATGAAAACAGTGGGGTAATCTTGAGTGAAAACAGTGGTGTGCCCCCCCCACCGATCCCGCATTCTCTCTCTCTCTCTCTCTCTCTCTCTCTCTCTCTCTCTCTCTCTCTCTCTTCGCCCCCCCTTTCTCTCTCTCTCTCTCTCTCTCTCTCTCTCTCTCTCTCTTTTCTCTCTCCCATCTCCCTCTCTCTCTCTCTCTCTCTCTCTCTCTCTCTCTCTCTCTCTCTCTCTCTCTCTCTCTCTCTCTCTCTTCGCCCCCCCTTCCTAATTGCCGTCATCGAGCAAAACAGGTAGAGTGAAAACAATGGGGTTATCTTAAGTGAAAACAGTGGGGTCAGTTACAATCATTACATCAAGCTGGTGCCACTGGCACGTGGAGTTAAGTGAAAACAGTGGGGTTATTTTGAATGAAAACAGTGGGGTAATCTTGAGTGAAAACAGTGGTGTGCCCCACCCACCGATCCCCCAATCTCTCTCTCTCTCTCTCTCTCTCTCTCTCTCTCTCTCTCTCTCTCTCTCTTCGCCCCCCCTTCCTAATTGCCGTCATCGAGCAAAACCTTAGAGGTCCTGCTTATTTCCCTTTGGGCGATCGTCTGCTGCATAAATAATAGTACCTCTCTTGTTTCTGGAAAGCTCTCATTTAGAAATGTGAATTTGTTTAATTATAGCGGAAATCGTTTTTGTTTTTCTCCTTCTCTTTTATTTCCTTTTTTATAAAATCTGGCCCCCTGCTCACTGATCAAATGGCTTTTTTTCTGGGGGGGGGAACGATCCAGGGTCATATGAAGAAGGTGTATGCGATCGACTGGTGCCAGAGCAAGGCAGACCGGCTCGTAAGTGCATCCCAAGATGGGTGGATGGTTTTGTGGAATGCTTTTGCAGGGACAAAAGTGCAATCCATCCGTCTGGACAACCCGTTCGTGATGACCTGTGCATATTCGCCAGGCGGACATCTCGTTGCGCGGGGCGGCCTCGACAACTTATGTGCCATCTACAGTATCGCGCGATTGCGAGCGGGAAAGGATGTGAACCTTCCGCCTATTCGCGTACTCTCTGGTCACAAGGGCTATGTATCTTGCTGTAAGTTCATGAGCGAAGGTCAGATACTGACAGCGTCCGGGGATCAAACGTGCATGCTCTGGGATGTCTCTACCAATAAGTGAGTGGTGTCCCGTCATGGTTGTTCTCGATTCACAATTTCAAACCCGTACAAGAACACCCCCCAAACTGCCATGAAACTTCAAAGTTCAAACTGTAAAAGTTAAAAAAAACTACCGCTCGCCGCTCGGTACCTTCGGCACCCTCGTATTTTCTAGGCTAGTGACTAAGGGTTCACAGAAAAGGCCCAGTACGGGGGCGCCAGATGGGAGCAAATGCGGAAACGCGTCAAACGACTCTCATAACCAGACGCCCAGGAACGAGTTCGGTACCGGGGCTTGCAAAAAGGCTGTTTGGCTTGGCAGGCAGCTCAGATCCAGAGTAATGGTGGCTGACCGTTCAAGCTGCAGAAAATGCACCTGCTGCGCCTGGCCCCGTCAACCTCCGGAACCGAGTTCGATTGAGCGGAATTTGAGCCACAAATCTGGTGGGCCTCGGACAAAGTCTACTGGGTTTGCAGGTCAGTGGAGTTTGCTTGTTGTTGTTGCGTTGGGGGAAGACCACCGATTACTTATACCTTACTGTCTTCCCCAGAACAGAGCGCACCCTGTCCATGAATGTATACAAGCTATCTATCTTTCCGGTCCAGTACACTTATAATGAGGGTGCATCGCGTTTGGGGGAAGGTGGCAGTTCCACGCTCCACTGGTGGAACACTGCGTGCTGAGTTGGAATGAACGTGGTCCATTCGTTCGTGGACCATGTCCATTCTAAGTTAGCACACAATCCTCCTAGCACTAGCGGGGTGTGATCCTCCTCACCAATGCAGAGTCCAGAGATCCAGAGATACCTGGCCCGCAGCACTTCTGATTGAATGATTAATGAATCAGCTCCGAGAGTGCCCTTTTCCACTGCTGCTCCTGCTGCTCCTGCTCCTGCTGCTGCTGCTGCTGCTGCTGCTGCTGCTGCTGCTGCTATGGCTGCGGCAGTGGCGGCTGTTATATGATGCTTTTTTTGTCTCAACCAGAAAATTATGGTTTGTAGTGTGTGTTCAGGAGCCTCACCACATTTCTTTTTTAGAGTTTTTTTTCTTTTTTTTAAATTTTTCTTATAAAATGTCCATGTTGTAGTAGAGGGTGGATGTTAGGCGTCGTGAGGTGCCTGTCGTCGTACTCAACCAGTGAGGGGATCAGATGGCTTGTGCCAACCCCGGGGACAGTCTGTCGCCAGGGGGTATCATTCGTGACCTGTTATATACTAATCTTATCGCAAGTCGAGCCCTATAGCGGTGCGACTCAGACCTCTCTATCTAGACCTAGACCTACACCAACCCGCACCTTCGAGGAGCCACAGACACCCCGGGTGCTACCATAGGGACACCCCGAATCCTCGAGCACGACCCGGATACAGGCTCCACATTTCATCTCTGTGCTCTTAGAAAACTTAGAACTGTGAAAAAGCATTACTAAATGAAGTAGTGATTGATTATCATTTCATTTCAATCTTTGTCATGCTCCCTTCCTGAATGATTGGAAGATACCTCTACTCTCCCTTCTCCTCCCCCCCTCCCCCTTCCCTCCACCCACCCAATGATGCCCCCAAGTAAATGATCATGTTTGTCAGTACTCTCTCGAGCTCGTTGAAAAGGATGGGGGTTCCTGTTTTTTTTTTGTTTGTTTGTTTGTTTGTTTTCCGTTTGTTTCACCTCATCTACAGGACTTTGATGAAGTTTGATCTCAGCTCTGTACTTCAACAGGTGATGGGTTTACCGACGGCGCTAGGTTCGTTGCATATTTGATAACTTCGGTTGTGTCTGTTTTCGAATTTCTGATCTATGAAAAAACATTAATGGCGATTGAAGACGACTGCACAAGTTTGGAGGAGAAGGAGGGTCGGCCACTGGTCACAAAGAGGACGTCATGTCAATATCAGTGAGTCCGTCGGATGGGCACATCTTCCTCTCAGGGTCCTGCGACAAGACTGCCAAGCTGTGGGATACTCGAACACCTGGCTCTGCTCAGGCAAGTGTGGACTCGCTCACAGCTACCGGTCATGTTGGGAGCACTGTGGTAGCTCTGGGCATGCCTGTTGAAATGAAAATGTTGAAATTTGGAAGTGAAATGGAGTGCCCAATAGCCATGTGTATGATTGAGTGTATCATCATCAAAGGCATGTCTATTCCGCCTTTGCCAGGCCGTTAGATAATGAAAGCAATCTGTGGTTAAGAAGCCATAAGGACTTAAGAGGAATGAATGCAACAGCAAGATGTGAATCATCATTTTAATCATGTCAACATGATCAACCAGAAAACACACACACACACACACACACACACACACACACACACACACACAAGGTTGGTGTGAGTAAAGTAGACCACTTTTCTCTCTGAGGGGTATTGCTAACTCTGGGCGATGTGGTGACTCCTTATCCATCAGTCAAATGCATCCTGGGCAGACTGTCGGGGTTCAACCTCCTGATGAGTCGGTGAAAGTCCGACGAAACAGTCTGTTCAGCACAGTCATGCTTTTTTTGAGCGAATATGACAACACACACACACACACACACACACACACACACACACACACACATAGAATCAGGCCCACCTTAATTGAAAAGAAAAGAATCGGCTCTCCCCTGCTCTGTACAGTTTTAAGTGGAAAGGCGATAGTGAGCAAGACGGGTCCTGCCTCTTCCTCGGGGCAAGAATCTCGGTTCCGTCAGATGGTTTGCTTTGCTTTGGCATAGTTGATGAGGCTGAGGCTTGGACATTCTGTCCTAGTGATTCATTCAATCCCCCCAGCGTCCTTCGGTACATCTGTTAATTGGAACGATAAAGAGTAGATTAGCATGGCCCCTGCGCAAGAATGACACATATAAGTAAAGAAATGGCTCAAATTAATAATAAGAAGAAGAAAGCCCCCAGCTCATCAGCCCGCATGTGTGCTCATGTGACAGCTGCCGCGATTCGAGCATGTTTGTAACAATACTGCGGCCACCAAAGCTGCAGTGACGATGTATGGTTGTTAGGGGCCATCCCCCAGTGTCTGTGATTGCTTATGTGTGTGACTGGCAGCATCGGCTGCCAGCTCATGTCACCCGGCTCACGAACTGGTTCACCACACGGTGCGCTACCGTCTTAGCACGAAAACAAGGTACGGACCTTGTATACGACGTACCTTGTATTCGAATACAAGGTACGTACCTTGTATACGACGTACCTTGTATTCGAATACAAGGTATGTACCTTGTATATGACGTACCTTGTATTTGAATACAAGGTACGTACCTTGTAGAATGAATTTTAGGATGCAACTTTCCTAGGCAAGGGGGAAAAAAAACAGAAAAAGTATGTAGTGTTACGATCCTGGCCAATTTGGAAGTCCAATCAGACTCGTTCTCAAGCACACTTTTCATGCATGTAAACAGCAACGCAGCATACTGGCGACATGCGGCCACTCAAAACTCGGAGATATGGCGTTCAGATACGAGTTCACTCTCAATTGGCTATGGCGACTTCAGCGCCCAAACATCTCACGGTTCACATACACTGGATCACCCTGGATATCCCACACACGTTACTCTGAACACTCACACAGGCACACACACTCTTCCACTAACTACAGCTATGGCAGCTATGGCTGCCTCTAACCTATCGCTATGCTAAMTCCTCCTCTCTYGCCCACTGCGTCCTCCGGGCTCATCTGCAGACCTCCTTGCACAAGTCGCTGTGGCAGCGCTTCCGCATGGCTCACGCAGGAATGAATGAATGGCTGGGCGCTGCCTCTTGATTTATACTTCAGAAACTCGTTGGTCTGCCCTTTGCCATCGGCCCTTGGTGCTCACAGTCTTCCTGTGGTACTTGCTGGACCGGACTGGGACTGACTGGACCTTCCGCTGACTGACTGTGTACTCACCGCTATCCTACCRACGTTGTACTGCTGTTGCACTGCGGTTTAGTCCACCACTTGCCTCGCCACTTGACCACTTGCCCACTTGCCTACCTTCTAGAAGGTCTACAGCTAAGCTTCCGGAACTCACTAAGACTTCTACGCTATAGACCTACAGATCGAACCCCTGCTGCCTATGGACCTACGACAGACCTACCAACTGTCTGCGAATACACAGGTCACAGGTTCAATTCTCGGGATCTATACAGATACTGTACATAGGTAGGGTGAGGTCTAGGGATAGAACCCTGGGTACGGCATCCGCTACTGCTAAGAGGGGAAAACCGTTTCACTCCCGCCGTCCTAAATTCGAGGTCCTCCGAGAACATTTCAGTCCAAGGCGGGACCTTTACCTTTCTTGTCACGTTCATAGGCTCTGACTATGTCGGGAGCGGTTTCTAGAAGTTCTATTTTCGTGAACCAGCGGTCGTCTTCCGGTTCCTGATAAGCAAAACGGACCTTATATTGTTCCTGGGGACGACCTCTACCTCCTGTTCTGAACATATCCTCATCTATAATGCCTTCAATGTCATAACTTCCATCCATATCCGGGGGGATCATGGATCTTCTGGAAGGGAACTGTCGACTTGTGACACACGGCAGCAGCTTTGAAGCATGAAACACAGGGTATGTGTGGAGGTGTGCTGGAATCTCAATGCTATAGGACGGTCCATCCTCTCCSCCCTTGACTTCTAGAACCGGCCACGGTCCTCTATATGYGGGYAGTAACTTCTGCGAGATGTTTTCCTCAGGTGCAAACTCTTTAGCCTTGACCCAGACTAAGTCGCCTACCTGAAACTGCGACGGGCGGCGGTGCTTATTAGCTTGCTCTATCATCCTATCCTGGGCCTTCCTGAGGTTTTCAACAACAGTGGCTAGTTCTTTCTCGTGCTGTATCGCAAACTCCCTGGTACCGGGCGGTAATCTGTGAATCTGATCCCGGTTTAGTCCTTCGAACGGTCTGCGCGGTCTAAAGGACTTGTGCAACTCATTGGGAGTGCGGCAGGTGGATAGATGCACGCTGTTGTTGTATGCACTAGCTACCTTAGGCAACATCTCATCCCAGTTAAACTGATCTGGTCTAATGTACATGCGCAGAACTTGCTGTAGGATCTTGTTCATCTGTTCTGTCTGACCGTTAGTCTCTGGGTGATGGTCGGACGACATTAACAACTTAGATCCGTAGACTCTCATGAGTTCTTGCCAGTTCTGGCTGGTGAAATGACTGCCTCTATCACTAACTATTGACAATGGGATTCCATTCTCACTAACCCAATAGTCAAAAAACTTCTGTATAACTAAGTTTGTACGTGCCTCTGCAGGCAAAGGAACAAAAACTGCATATTTGCTAAAGCGGTCAACTATGACGATGACTTGGCTCTTACCATGTCTACTCTTGACTTGGGTGTCCATGAAGTCTATGGACGGAGTCTCTCGGCTGATCCGGAATAGGCAAGGGTCTGAGAAGACCTAGGGGCGCGCGTGTAGTAGACTTATTCCTCTGGCACACTTTACAATTGCGGACATACTGTATTCAGTCATTCTTCATCCCTGGCCAGGTATACGCACGCATCAGGTTGGCTAATGTCTTTTGCCAACCGAAATGCCCTTCAGTATCGTGGCATTCCCCTAAGATTAGACTGCGAATCTCTTCGCTGTTGGGGACGCACAGGCGGTCAAACACATTAGTCTTCTCGAACAACAACCCATCTGTAGTGCGGTAATCTGGTCTTTGAGGCCTCTCTAACTCTCTTTAGGAGGTCGCTATAGATAGGGTCCTGTGCATACGCTTGATTCACTTTCTCTTGCAGGTCTCTCCCTATATTCAGATAGTGTACTACGGCTCCAAAGTAGTCTGATCTCCTACTCAGAGCATCCGCAACTACGTTGTACTTGCCCTTCACTGGCTTGAGCTCAAAGTCGAATTGGTCTATCTCTGCGGCCCACCTAGTCAACTTAGGTGTCATCTTGGCCTGAGTCTTTAACCATCTAAGYRTTTCGTGGTCCGAATATACTTTGAAGTGCCTCCCAAGCAGGTAGTGCTTCCAATGGTCTAAAGCCTGCCTGAGAGCGTAGAGTTCTCTCTCGTACGTGGAGGTAGCGACCTTTTCACAGGGCATCCTCGCTGACATGAACTCTACGGGTCTATAGCCATTGCCGTCATCTTGCTGCAACACGGCGCCTATCCCATACTGACTCGCGTTCGTGGTGACGACAAATGGCAAAGACGGATCTGCAACTTTGAGGACARGATACTCTATTAACGCGCGCTTTAGCTTCTTGAGCGCAGACGTACAGTCTTTGTCCCATTGCCAGATTGCCTCTTTCTTCAGCAATCGGCGCAAGGGAGCGGCGATAGTGGAGAAGTTCCTCATGAACTTCCTATAGTAGTTAGCTAAGCCTAGGAACGACCACAATTCTGTTAATGTGCGGGGCGTCGGCCAGTCTCTAATCGCCGCGATCTTACTGTCCTCTGGCTTGATGCCATCTCCGTCTAATACGTGGCCCAAGTACAGGACTTTGTTTTGGCCCACTCGCACTTCTTTGCGTCGATCTTGAAGCTAGCCTCTCTAAGCTTCTCCAAGACCTGCCTCAGATGACTCTGGTGCTCCTGGAGGGTCTTACTAAAAACGAGAATATCATCTGGATAGACTACTACGAACTTATCCAACCACGGTCTAAACAGATCGTTCATACAACGCTGAAAAGTGGCTGGCGTGTTGGTTAGTTCAAAGGGCATCACTATAAACTCATAGTGCCCATATCTAGTCCGGAATGCAGTCTTATACTAATCATCAGGATGGACTTCTATCTGATGGTATCCGAACTTCAAGTCTATCTTGGAGAAATACTTACAGCCCTGCACCCGATCTAAAAGATCGTCTATCCTGGGCAGCGGCTCAGCATTCTTCACAGTGATCGCATTCAAACCCCTATAGTCTATGCACATACGAAGCTCTCCCTCCTTCTTGGGGACAAACAAGACTGGTGCTCCAAAAGGAGACGAACTGGGCCTGATCCAACCCTTCTCAAGGAGTTCGTCTAACTGCTTGCGAAGCTCCTCTAACTCT